GGCGCTGGCAGATTTTGCGGTTTTCTCAGACAAATGTTTGAAACATGGCAAGGTGGGGCGGGGGTCGACACAAGTGAAAATAGTGACAATGCTCCATCTCGAGTAAATGTCATGCATGAAAAATCCTACCAAAGTAAAAGTACAAAGTTATTAACAAGTGTTAGCAGTGTGTTACTGCTGCAGGTGGAGCAGGTTGGATCTACTTTACATAAAGCTTTACATACAGGGACAGCAGATACATCTGAGAGGTCACCAGATGATTAATGAGAGAGGAAAACGAAAAGAAAAGAAAAAAAGCACAAATCTCTTTTCAGATGTTTTCTAATCTTAGAAATCTTTCGGACCATTTGAACATTTATTGAAATGAAACCCTGTGAGAAGTTTAAAGGGAAGCTCTAAAATGTGACTACTTTTTCTAAAAGGTTGCTTTAATATTTACCAGTTTGTTGTATTTTAATAGGGTGGAATGTTACAATACTCTGAAATGTAGTGGAATGGAAGTATAACGTAGCACAAAATGGAAATAGTCATTCGTCATCAAGTACCTCAAACCTGTTATTCAAACAGTGGTTTTACTGGCTGATGCAAAAATCCATTTTTGTGAGTAAACCTTGTTCTACCTACTTGAACCTGACAGTGCATCTTGACCTTGGAAAAAACAACTGGCAAAACACTCTCCATTCAAAGTGTGCTAAGTTACTTGTTTTTGACTTTCTCTTTCATACGCCAGGGTCTTCATCAGTAGTTGAGGTTTATTGTGAAACTCAAGATGCAGACGGTAAAAGATTGTTTTGATCACTTTTAGCACTTGTTGAACACAATGAAAGTGTCAGAAGTAGCGTGTGGACCTTGAGCTGATAATGTTACTGATGCAATTTTGACTTTTTTCAGATAAACACACTTTTTTTTTTTTCAAAAACAAGGATCTGTCAATTCTGTTTCTTTTACCTTTTCTAAAATTGATGCTGCATCAACAAACAATCACAGAGCAGGTAGGCTGATGCAGAAAAATCAATGATAATTCCAGATTGATCTTAGCTATTGTGATATATGTAAACCCCTGCATGATATACACTGACTCGCTGTGCAGCATGTGTGTGTGACTCTGCAAGTGAAAACGAGCGGAGAGCCTCCCCGGGAGTGAATGCATACTGCTTTGTCATTACTTTCAGAGAATAGTGGCCATTTACTACGCGGATGGCGGAGCGCCAGCTGATGATGCAGGCATCCTTGAATAGCTGAGGACAATCAATCGTGCGGGATGGCTCTGTGCATCGTTCTAAAAGAACAACTGCCACCCTCCGCAGACGAGACTCCTATCTCGCTGCAGGCAGGGATGACATAGATAGATGGAAGCGAAACAAAAGAAAAACTCATTGAGTGTGTGTGCGAGGGGATAAGCACGAGTGTCTGAATGCTCAAGCGAGTGTATGTGAGGAATGATGAAAACTGGTGGGCAGGAATGCAAGTGGAGCTGAATATTCATGGCTCATGCGGATGAGGCTCGCAAACTTTTTCACACATCGCCTGCCCTCCCTTCCTCTGTCTCTCCAGGTCTTCGCAGTTGACTGATGAGCAGCCAGTAGGACCGGGGTTGGCCTACACCGACTGGCATAGGTAAACACAACTTCCTCAGTACTAACACATTGGAGACGTTTAGGGATTTTTTTTTTTTTCCGTGCTGACATGATTTCGTCGGCTCTCTGGGAGAACTGCCAGTCTTTGAAGCGAGAGTGCACTGAGCTCTGTTGGTCAAAAATATCTTCACTTTTAAAGAAGTAAAGAAGCAGCCGGTTTGCCTGTGTCTGTCCGCGTGGATTTGACTTTTGACAGTACTTTCTCTGTACTCGAAAGGCCCCGTGCTAATATTAATCTTCCAAGTGTGGAGATTGAAGTGTTTATATAACCACGATCTGTATATATTCATTTACCGTCCGTGACTCTTACCATGACTGTGACCTGCAGACAGAACTTCTATAATTGCCTGTATTGGTTTCTATTATATTTTTGTCAGAGCGGGTTAAGTCTGCTGTACGGTATTTTTCTGACTTTGTCGAGGCTCCATTTGCTGATAAATATTCAAGGCTGATCACAGGTACAGTTATTTCTCATGCAGGCTTCTTTTTGGCTTTTTTTTTTCAAAAAACATCAGTGTGCCTTTTGTTAATGCTATTTACATACACAAATGAGCACATTTCTGAATAATAAACCAGCTGTTATGATAAAACATTCCTACTTTGCTCATTCCAGACTGGGAGCTTGGTGATTTCAATTGTCTTCGAAAAATCTGTCCCGACTCCCCGTGATGCTGTCTTACGGTTCGCATTCTTCTCGTGCAGCTGTTCAGCCTCAGACAAACTCTGTGTGAAAGCAGTTCTTATCTTCTTGCTTTCTAAAGAGGAATAATTAAGTCGACATTTTAGAGGAAACACCAACCGAATGTTTAACCAAATGGGAGCTTCCTGCACTTCCAAATGTACTATAACTCCTATAACATCTCTTGCTCCCCTTCATGCACATCAGATTTAACGATTCAGCGTAAGGCCATTTCAGCTGTTGCCAAACGGAGCGATGTATCATACTTAAGCCATGTAGAGACGTTTAAACATCAGATATGGCGGACGAGGGAGGGAGAGATTCTGTAATCCCGCTGCTTTCGTGGCCGGATTAAAATCCCGCGTCCCGAGCTGTGGGGGGGAGGGGTTGGCCGGTGGTGTTGAGGATGGGCTGGAGGGAGAGGCGGGGCGGATTAAAGCCTACAGATCTGCTTCCTGCACAGCTGTGTCACCGTGGGAGGGGCCTGATGGATGATGAAGGGGGAGGAGCCTGTTTCAGATTATGCTGGCTTTCTGATCTTGATGCTGCAATGTGATTTAAAGCACAGGAGATATGACAGGAAGTTAAAAAACTCTGATGGAACACTTGTGCATGCAGGGATTTAGCAGGTCCCTGGTTGGTTGTTGTTTTTAACCACAGTAGTGGTGTGACTTTTAGATGGTCAGTTAGTCCATCACGGTGGTTGAGACAAAAAATATCTCAGCTACTACTTTAAATTTGTGCACAACTATCACTGGCCCAAAGGAGGAAGGCCTCTGACTTGTCATCTGACACCAACATGAGGTTTACAGTTTTGGTTTCAACAACTAGTAGAGCAATTACTATAAAAATTCACACTTTAAATCAGTGGCCACCAGAGGATAAATCCTATAAACTAATGACTTTTACTTAAGTTAAGTTAAGTTAAGTCAAGATAAACTTTATTAATCCCACAGTGGGGAAAGTTCACCGTTACAACAGCTCTAAAAAGAAAAAGTCAGTACAATAATAATTTAGAAACACACCGTGCAAAATTGCAAGAGAAAGCATTATATACAGAAGATGTCTTTTTAAAGAAGACTATATACACAAGAATGAGGTAGTAACAGTTATTGCACACAAGTGGAATGTGTATGTAGGAGGAAAAAGAGCAGCAGTAACAGAGGTCTGACTGATGTTGGAATAAAGGACCAGCAGAAATGCTCCTTCTTACACTTAGGGTGTAACAGTTTAATTAGTTAATTAAATTATATTAATTCAATTTGCCCAGTACTTCATTTACAGCAAAATATGTGCAAAACATTTCCGTTAACCTCACCTGTTCAGTGCCAATTAGACATTTATTTCGAAATGAAATTTTAAAAATGCAACATCACTCTTTTTGAGTTGTGACAACTTCTAAAGAAATTATGTTTAACCAACAAACTAAGTTGAGTTAAGAGAATGATCCTATTTACTACAGTCAGGGGTATTTTAAAATGTAACTTATTTTTTGATTGGTAGCATAAACCAGGTTTTAAAGCTGATGGCTCATAAAAATCCAATTCTTCCAACTAGTGTTTTTGCATTATTTTCAAAGGAATTTTAAGTGTTATGTATTTAATTGCCATAATTAGGAACAGAAGCTTTTCAGTTGGTAAATTAAAAACAAAAAGTTGCTCCAATGTTAAGTAGGTAGGGGAGGAGAATTGACATCCTTACCTCAAGGTGAAGAAAATTGTAGTTATCCGGCTAATTTTAATAAATTATCTCAACTCAAAATTTAATTTTAAGTAACTACTGCAGAAATTTGAATTACACACAACAACAAGTTGATACAACCAACAGCACCGTTATGTCAACCCAGCACAGCTAAATGTTGTTTGCAGTTTAAAAGGTTAATGAATTAGAATTTTTATCTTGCAGCCATGCATTTAATTAAGTGGTGGGAATGGATCCCGTGAATTAGTTAATAGTGTTGCATTGCCATTGTGAGCATGTTTGGCTCAAAGCTTCTTCAGCACAGCCTCACAGAAGCGCTATCAAGGCTGCAGACACGTCTTCTTGCCTTTTTTTTTATTTCCAAAAGTCTCTCGCTGCGATGTGCTCGTATGCTTTGTGCAATAATACTTAATTTTTATCATCCATATAAAATGAGGCACTGAGGGAAGAATATTTATTACGACAAGGCTTCCGTTAAGAAACAGTCATGCAGCCGGTAGCTTCCCTTGAAGCATTCAGGCTCAGGGGTGGAGCGGCTTAAACTGCAGCCCCCCCCCCCCAAAAAAAAGAAATGTGCATAATCCTGTCAGCACCTCGAGTCTACTGACTTAGCGGGGAGCAAGGTGGTAAGGGCGCATTAATTTGAGGAGGAAGAGAGACTGAAGAAAGAAAAAGGAAAAAAAATGAAAGTGAGAAAAGGCTCCCATTAGTCTGAGGAGGCTTTAGGGAGGTGGACGACCGCTGAGGGAATACGTACAAGCACAATCTGCACACGCTGAGAGTTTCTGCACATTGCAGCAGCGGGTTGCCCAAACTCTCTGCAGAATGAGTGTGAACGAGAGAAAGGAGGAGGAAAAGAATGGGAATGTAGGGTCAGGCCCCCTTCAGTAACACTTATGTAAGATTACTTACATAATGACACATTCAACTGGTGTGTGTGAGTGTGTGTGTGCTTCTGTCTAGACAAGAGGGGTAACTTGACTTTGGGTGGGGTCGGGGGACACAAGAGGAGGGGTACTCGAGCAGCAGGAGAGGATTGTGGGATTATGTGTGTGTGTGTGTGTGTGTGTGTTATCAGCTGATGGGGGAGTGGGAGGTAGTATGGGAAGGTATTAAAGTCAGAGTGGAGGGAGGGGACTGACAAGTACTGAATGCATGTCCACATCTGTGTGTGCCATCCAGCTTTCTACCTCGCTCTGTCTCATTTCACGCCTGTCTCTCCAAACTTATCCATACATCAGCCTCTTTTCCTTTTCTTAAATTTCTCCCCTCATCTCTCTGCCTCCTCCTCCTCCTCCTCCTCTTCCTCTTCCTCTCCCCTGTTCCCCCCTCGTCTCTTAATATCTTCTGATCTTAATCCCATTCTATTGTCGCTGCCTTTGTGTCTCTTCTCTCATTCTCTGTCCTCGATCCCCCCCCCGCCCCTCTTTCTCCTTTGTACTCTCTTTTTTTTTTTTCTTTGGGAGTTTAGAGGGTCAGCAGTGCCAGAAAAGACAAGATTGGAGGACAGAAGACGTAGTTGCAGAACTGCTGGTGGTTGACTAGTGGTTAGCCTTTAGCATACTTGTGGCAGCGTTGAGGAAGAAAAGAGGGCTTGGCGATGGTCACAGCTATGGACGATTCCTGTCCCAATGGGGTACGGGAGGAGGAGGAGGAGGAGGTGACGCCCCCGGGACAGGCTGGCGTGGAGGGGCCCCCGGCTGTGCAGTCCACCCAGGGAGCAGAAACGTCTGGAGGTGAGGAAAGGAGGAGGAAGAGGCGGCCTGTCACATGTTTAGATGAACAGAGAGATGCTGTAGCGTTAGATTTTGATCTTAGGAGGTTCATTGAAGGCTTCTATGAAACATTAATCATCTCGAAGCAACATTGCAACTCCCAGAGGGTGGTGAGATTGCCGGATTTTTCAGTTTCAGATGTAAAATATCCCAAAAAATAAATAAAAATCTTTAGAGCAGCGATTCCCAACATTTACTGTCGAACATTCCCCCACAGCCCAGAGGTGTCAGATGAACTTAAGTTCTCCTTCATGGATATGAAGCAATGTTCTGCATGTCACATCTAGTTAGATTTTAAACCACTAATAATTATATTAAATCTGTTTTGGGATAATTGAACTGTCATATTGGGGTTGATTTGATCATTTTTGCATTTTTGCTACCACCAAGTAAAACCTTTCAACCAATCAATGTCTTTTTTTTGTTAGATATTTAGATGTTAAATATTTACCATCTTATATAACTTATCAAATACATTTAGCTATCTACACTATGTATCGCTTTGAACTGTTTTACCCATTAATATTGTTTCAACCATTTTCCATTATTTTTTGTGTATGCTTCAGCCATCAGCTAAAAGTTTCCCGACTTTCACTTTTATCTGACCTGTTCACGACTTTTATTCCATCTCAACTCTCTGTCTGCTCCACGGCTCACTGTTTCAGCCCTTTGTATATAACCTTTAACTCCCTGTTTAGACCTTTCTACTTCATTGCTAACAGGCTTTCATGCACTCTCAATCCCAACAGGTAATGTTCAAGTGTTACGGCTGACATGATTTTTTTATTTTATTTTTTTTTCAAAAATAGTTGAAGAACTACTTTCAGTTAAACCCTCTGGTCAGGAAACTCTGAGCTTTAGCTGTGAGAGTTGTCTGTTTTCCCTGGAGGTGTCTCAGTTCCTAACCTGTACTGGTAAAAAAAAAAAAAATGGCCAAGTTTTTTTTTGTTATCGATGACGTGTCAGTCAAGGTGCTCCTCTGATCTTCATCTCACAAAAAAAAAAATCATCCCACGTATAATACAAGTAGCCAGGTCTTCTCTCGTGGGATTTGTCTTGCATTCCTTGAGAAACGGAGGCAGGAATTCTTAAGCAGGGAGGCTCTGAATTGGCATTCAGCGCACATCACGCTGGTAGGTGTAGATACTGAGGCAGTGGTTAGATGGTGAGAGAGACCGCAGACGAGTCCCACAGAGGGGAGAAGTAAAACCAGGTAAGGAGAGTGATTCATTATGTAGATGAATGAATCAGCAAAGGAGAAAAAAAAAAAACACTACTGTATATGTGTGGTGCCATCATCTCTCAGCTTCTTCACAGACAGACTCAGCAGAGATGAGTCGCCGTTTCTCACAAGAATGTAGATACTTTTAGGTCAGAGGCTTCATCCACAGTCCCTTACTGGACAGAAATGATGTGGTTTCTAGTCGGGATGAGCGAGTAGCACGTAGCCGGGGACGAGTTTGGATGAGCAAACATTCCTGTGGTTCCAGGACGCCATGACACAGTGATCTCAGTGAGTGGGCAAAGGTCAACACATAGAGCACAGAAATGCAGATACAAAACACCATCCAGCTGCGTGCTCCGGTTGTTTCAGCTTGATGTATCGCTTGGAAGTTAGTTGTGGTGTCAGGGTTTGTGTTTTTCTTCCTTTCGCTGCGTTTCTTTTAGGAAAACAGCTCACTGAAACTCCGACAAGTTGTAGATGTGAAACGCCGAAGAATTGAAAAACACATTTTTAAAGGGAGGGGGTTGGACCTCAACAAATTATAAGTGTGGGTGAGCGCGCTGAAATCAAGGCGGTGGTTTGGTGCTTGTTTGTGGTTGTGTGTGTGTGTGTGTGTGTGGATGCTTCTACTACAATTACAGCTCTGCTCTGGAACAGTGTGTGTGGTCCCCAAAGGAGCTAAACGTCCTGTTCATGCACACTGACTGCTGCATATCCAAAATTGAGTTTTAGATTACGCTTTCTGTGTCGGAATGTATATATATATATACAATGCTTCACGGATGACTCGGACTGACTCGACTTGATTATACAGGTTTAATAATCTGCAGTGCAGTTTTTAACCTCCCTTCCCTTATTTGTCCTTCTTTAAGAGGATCATAAATATTTAAGGTTTGTTTTTGCATTGAGCCTGCTGTTTATGCAGTCTGTCTCTGCTCTGTGGTTATCAAGCCAACGTGAGCTATCTGCTTCCCTGTGAGATAATTAGTTGGGTTTTTTTTCCCCTCCTTTTTAAAAAAACAAACTCACTCTCTTCTTTCTTAAGCGCAGAGTTGCATGACTATTGTGCAAATTAGTCATTTTTGATAAAGAAAAGGTAGAATTTAAATTGAAATTGTATCTAAAAATATTGTAATTGCAAAAAAAAAAAAGGGAATAACAGTTTAGGCCAGAAAACACAGGGATCACAAGAAAGGCTGCAGCACACGCAAAGGAATCTGCATTTTGTCTCGTACAAAACGGATTTACATATGTTAAGAGAAAGCTGATGAACATTTTACACCACCACAAGCGACTGCAGTGTTTCCTAATCGGTGTGTTTAAAGCGGCAATTCAGCACGTGCCGCTTAAGAGGAGGTCGAAGTAATAGTACGACTTGACGTGATGACACTGAATGTGAGTCAAGTGTAATAATGGGTCAGTAGAGCAAAACACCGAGAACTCATGGAGTGAATCAGCTGACTGGACATATTTACTACCCACCTAAGTGTGTAATGACACATGCTCACACACATTCACACACACACAGGCGTGCGTACGTTCCCAGGGAGTTAAGTGTCTTAAATTGGCTTACACTGGCTTTGAGACCCTGGCATTAGGACGTTAGCTGGCTGATACCTGCAGTCCACACCTCCGCTGCTGTGCGTTTGTGCCCAAAGGAAGCAAGATTCAGTCGAGTTCATTTGTTCAGATGCTTTCTAGTAGCCGACAGAATTTCAAACCTGGAGCTTTTTAGGTCTCGGAGTAGTCAGCTGTACGTTCTTGTGGGAATGTGCTGACTGAGCTCTTCTAAAACTGTGCACATTCGAAATAGAGAAAGTGAAATCACAACACAAGTCGACTCAAGGTGCTTTCAGATTAAGATGAAAGATGCACCAACAAATTGCACATCATATCATTTGGGCTGTTCCACGTGTCCAGAACTCTGTGTGTAAAGTATGAGTAAATGGCAAACTGGAGTTTAAAGAATTAGCTTCCGTCATCAGAGTATAGAAAGTTGGATCGTCTAGGTCTAGTTTTGTGACACTCTGTTGCTGCAGCACCTTTAACAATGTTTATGCTTTGAATGACTTTCACGCCTGGCTAACCCTCCTTATCTCCTCTCTTTTTTTTTTTTTCCTCTCCGTATCTTTGCATCTCGCCCCGTCCGTCCAGCCATGCAGCAGGTGTTGGATAATCTGGGTGAGCTGCCCACCTCCACGGGCGCCAAAGACATCGACCTGCTCTTCCTGCGCGGCATCATGGAAAGTCCAATTGTACGCTCCCTGGCTAAGGTAGCACACACACATAGATCAGGGTGAGCAGCAGACTAACCAGTGAGCCAGCTCCAGAGGCCTCCTGCTCCCAGCTTTTGCTCTGCCTTGCTCTGGCTTGAGGTGCTCCAGTACAGCAAGGCGTGCACATTGGCAGCAGCGCATGCATCTAAGCACTTATTATCACAAACCGCTTGCTCCGACACGATCTTCACCGCTGTTTGATATCTAGCGTGCGGTGAGTTCAGTCAGAGGACGGCTGCAGCTCCTGCCAGACGGGCTGCTGTCATTTTCTGTTATCCAGCTTCTCCCTGCAGGGCTGCAACTTGTAAAGATGACAGGATGACTAAACAGAAACAAATACTTCTTTGACTTTTTTTTCCCACTGTAACATGACTTAGACAGAGGCTTGCTTACAGAGCAAAATAACCTCACAGCGGCACTATAAACAGATTCCACTGTCAGCATTCACTACCTCTCAACAGAACTCACATCCGCTCATTCAGCTGTCACACATCCAAATCAATGCTAACATCACTCACCTTCTTCCCACCTGTGTGACGAAGCTGCCCTCCCTGAGCCTCTTTGTCTTCCCCAGGCTCACGAGCAGCTGGAGGAGGTGAAGCTGGAAGCGGTGCAGGACAACAACGTGGAGCTGGTGACGGAGATCCTGGGCGACATCAGCAACCTGAAGGTTAAAGACGACAGCGCGGCCGAGCTGTCCAGGATCCTGCAGGAGCCACACTTCCAGGTGAGACGCAGCAAACGCAGCTGGGCAGAGCTGAAACAGACAGGATCTCCTAGAACAACTGTGCTGCCAGTGGACTGAAATAATGTACAGGGATCCAATAACAATATTTCAAACCAAGCATGGTGTTATAGCATCTTCTTTGCATCTAATTCCACCGACTAATATAAATAAATGTGAATTTCGCTGCTATTTATTGACATTAATTAAGCCTCTCTCACAAAGAGGGGAAGTCGGATATTTAACCTGGGAACAGTGTCTCCCTGTGGGCTTAATGAGGAATTAGTCTTGTCTTGTTTCATCTAAACCTCTCGTCTAACAGATTGTTTATGTACATCGCTGAGCCACAACATTAAAACCAGCTGAGTAATACTGTGTAGGTCCCTCTCGTGCTGCCGAAACACCCCTAATTCTTTGGGGCATGGACACAGAACCTCTAAAATGTATGATACTGGGATGTTGGCAAAGGATCCTTCTGTGGGCTGTGGGATGAGGCCTCACATAAATCAGCCTTTGGATCAAGATTTTGGGAGTTTGGTAATACTTTTAGCTCTTCGTCGTGTTGCTCGAGCCGTTCCTGAGCAGTTTTTGGGGTGTAGCAGGGCAATGCAGCAGCATGTGTCTAAGTATCACCCACAACATGCAGCTGCATTGTTAAAAGAAATGTTTTTTTCTTGATTCGTTTCGAAAAATGCTGTAGATAAGAGATAGGCTTTAATGGGTAGAAGGATGTACAAATGTACATCCAGTGTACAGAAGTACTTTTAATATGTAGAATTACATATTCATTAGCTTTAAGATTTGATTCAACAGAACAATACTGCATGTACTTTACATAAAAAATCTCACGTTGCTTTAATAGGTGATAACTAAATATGCTAAACATTAAATAAAAACTTTAAATTAACATATTAAAATCATGTTCATTTTACAAGAAAGAATTCAGTCCAGCAAACATAACTTTAATATGTGCAACGATGTCCGTACCTTTTTTCATGTAAATCCAACAGACTTTTCTTTCAGTGCAGGACTCAACGTTTTCCAGCAGAGCATTTTACTGTAACAAGACGATCAGTGCCATTCAGTTGACCCGTCAGTGGTTTTCAGTGTTATTACATTATTTAGATGGCTGTACATCTAAATAATGTATTTTTTCACCTCTATCTGTCCACAACGCCGCAGGCCACAACACGTCCTGAGTTTGTGATGCCAAATATCTTAGCAATGATGAAGAAATTCTCCACTGATGCCATCTTGTTGGTACATAAAAAGGTTCATTGAAACATGTCCAGTATCTCATGGTTCGCCTGTGAGAGGATTCAAAACCAAAAAGAATCACCCTGCAAAATAACCTTAACTGCTGGCTTATATAGGGGAGCTAAGACAAAACATATCAGGAGGGGAGCCCATTCTCTAGACAAAAAGGCACCTCTCCTGCACCACCTTAACCTTTTACCTTTGACCTAGGGACTCCTAGCTAAACATACCAAACCCATGAGGTGGAAACATCAGATACCTACACCAGCTACCTGTCCTTTAATGGCATCTCTATGTATGACTACATCCAGCTTTTTTTTTAATGTCATCCAGCATCCCATCGTCCCATTACTGCTGTTGCATTACCATCATATAGCATTTACTGCATAATTTTCCTTATTTCTAGAGACGTGTTAGTAATAATCCCTTGATGCTGCCTGTGAAAAAGCATGAAAACCAAAGTAGCTGCTGCATTTTCACTGGTCTAATACAATTTACTGCCCGTATTTATACATATTTTGAGCATATTAAAATTCTTTTTCCCTTTCCCTTTATTCTGATTTTAAATTCTTGTAATATTTTTCCTGTACATGTGTGTGAATTAGATTAGATTTTTCTTGCCGCACACTAAATGCGAAACTCTACGGTCGTGGTGTTTTGACTGTAGTTACAGTAGAGCTCATCTGATGTTTTGGATCACGTCCTCACGCATCAGTAGAACACTAACCTCTATCCCCGGACCTGCACACAGGCTTTACGTAGACTAAACCAATCGGAGTGAGATTTCTGAGCCCAGCGAAGCCTCTGCACCAATCGGAGCCCTTTTGTGCCGTAAGCCGAAAAGATAAGACCATGTTGACCTACTGAGGGAGAGAGGAGGGGAGGGGAGGGCAGGATAGGTAGGAACAGGAAACGGATATTACATCACATGCTGAGTGTGTGACTTTACAAAACTTGTTGTTTTCTTTACCAAAAAAATTGCTGGTGGTGATTGTTCATAAGATGTTTCAAGAAGTAGTTCCAGTAATTTTTTAAAAAACTGATTTGGATGAAAGCTGTTGGAGGGACACTCAGCCAACCAAGACCAAAGTGATTAGATTTAGGTGATAATCCATATTTGGGATTTGAGCCATTAGATGATTGTTTTTTTTTTTTAATAATCTGATGAAGGCACATCTCAGAAGTTTTATATTTTAACACCTCTGTGGACAGTTTTTGGAAAATCAAGCACCAAAAGTGAAATTACTCAGTGACTGTGGCGGTTTCTTTTCTACTGTCTGCCCTCGAGGGGACTCTTTGTACATATAATCGTCCCACTTCACTGGTCTACCTTCTGTGATACATGTTTCCTCTCATACAGCCGTCATCATGTTTGTTTGTTTTTTTTACTCAAAATATCAAGTCTCAGTTTTGTCAGCATTATTTTAAGCGACACCGACTTTTGCAAAACAGCATTCACTGTGGTTAACTGACAATTATGGGATAACAGTAAATACTTAAACATAGTTTTACTGCAGCGCAAGTATGGAAGAGTCATAAAACCAAGCAAGCTACCAAACGACCAAACGAGGTTGTAGCAGCAACATTTCTGAGTGAATCAAATCTAGCAAGAGAGTATTTTTTATTACGAAAGAAAGAATGTGCTTTTAAATCTGTCAAAAGTTACACAGTTTTGCTTTCAGCGTCGTTCCTCAGTCACCTTGTCCTCCTTTCTGTCTCTCAGTCTCTTCTGGAGGCTCACGACATGGTGGCCTCGAAATGCTACGAAGTCCCGCCCCCTGCTGAGACGGCCAATGATGCGGCGGTGAACAGCGCTCTGATGCAGGCCGATGCCGTGCGCATGATCGGCATCAGAAAGAAGGCCGGAGAGCCACTGGTGAGACAGACACCGACTGAGAGTGTGTGTGCATGTGGGTGCTGCTGGAGGGCAGCTGGAGAGAGCACATGATGGGGCAGGTGGATGATTGAGGGTGTGAGTCGGTGCCAGAACAGTAGGACTGTGGGTGCAGCCGAGTGAAAGAAGGTGCACACAGTCATATTAAGACAAAGCATCATCGCGCTCCCTCTTCTGCCTCTCAGGGTGTGACATTTCGCGTGGAGAAGGACGACCTGGTCATTGCTCGAATCCTCCACGGCGGCATGATTGACAGGCAGGGCCTGCTCCACGTGGGAGACATCATTAAGGAGGTGAACGGGAAGGACGTGGGCAACAACCCCACCGAGCTGCAGGAGATGCTCAAAGACTGCAGCGGAGGGATCACGCTGAAAATACTCCCGAGCTACCGAGACGCTCCCGCGCCCCCACAGGTGAACAACGCGCTCGTAAACGTCAAATGGCATGACAGTGTAAACACAAAACCACTTACATAATGAGCGTCAGATGTTGGTACCGGGCTGGTGATCTGTCCTACGGCCTTCCCACAATCCCCTGCGCAGGAATGTGAACACTGGGAGCCCTATTAATAACACTCCACATGCTATCTAGGTCACACTTGCTGTTTTTGTCTCATGCACACACTCCCAAATACTCACATGCATGCTTCCTGTAATGTCATGCACCCCACATGAAAAGTACAGTAATTTATGATCGCCTTTGACAGTTTCACTCATGCGTGCGCCTTTTTTTTTTTTCCCTTGTTGTTGTTGTTATGGCTCCTCAGCAGCAAAATAAAAAAAGACATTGTGCATTTTGAACAAATACACACAAACTTGGAAATGTTCATAAGGCCTAAGTTGAATGAAGAGCAGAAAAAGTGAATGAGACATAATGCAAAATCACATCCTGCTCTGTGGTTCAGGGTGTGCTGCGCAGTATATTTTACTGGCTTGTTTTATTGCTTCCTCTGGCTGCTTGTTTAATCTAATCCATCGGCCAGAGCACTTACCCTTCTTGGCAAAAGCCTCTGCTGTCGGCGCAGCGTGAGGAGCTGTGTCGGGTGCAGTGTGGGACACGGGACGTAGCTGGTGTGAAGGAGTCGCTGTCATTGTGCGAGACAGCATGTTGAGCTCAAACCTTTTTTGTTTTTTTTGTCGCCCGCCTGCCTCCTCCACATTGACCCTAATCAGGCTTCTACAAAATCCCTCCCCCCCAGATCCTTAAGAATAATTACAAGTTTGATTTCCTGCAAAGGGCTCAGAAGTGTGCAATTGTTCATCACAGGTGCATGTGCGGCCATACTTCGACTACAACCCGACCAATGACAACCTGATCCCTTGTCGAGAGGCGGGAATGGCCTTCAAGAAAGGCGACATTCTTCAGATTGTCAACCGAGAGGATCCAAACTGGTGGCAGGTGAGCCCTCCTCTGTGCTTTCTCTTTCACCGAATGTCAGTAAAAGAGCCAGAAAAATGTCCAAAGCTGACTGATCTGTAATCTGTGCCAGGCGTGCCATGTAGTGGGCGGAGCCACGGGACTGATACCCAGTCAGTTCTTGGAGGAGAAGAGGAAAGCTTTTGTTCCCAGAGACTTTGATGGATCAGGTGAGGCTCTATTGAAGCGCTATTGAAACGCTGTGAATGATGCTTTCGGTTGGAGCTGAAACTCTCCCAAGTTTCCAGTTTCTCTCTTATGCTAAGCTGATGTTGAAAAGATAGATTGGCCTGAAGTCTGTGAACTGGTCCGCTGCCAGGCTTCTGTCACTTCTTTATTGCTTTTACCACTGAGAGTTGTTTTATGGCAAAAAGGCCTGGATAGCTATTTTCAGCACTCTGAAACTAGTCCACGTCTGCCCCCATCTGGTCAAACGCTGTCATGGCAAACACCTACAAGTGCTGTCTTGTTTGGTCTTTCAGGAATCCTTTGTGGCACCATAGCGGGGAAAAAGAAGAAGAAGATGATGTATCTGACAGCCAAGAATGCAGGTCAGACGCTTCTCCTCTCAGCTGTTATCTACATGGTCTTTCTCTGTGATTGGCTAACAGGTTATGAATGCGTTTAAACAGAGTTTGACAGACACGAGCTGCAGATCTACGAGGAAGTGGCGAAGGTGCCCCCGTTCCAGAGGAAGACGCTGGTTCTGATTGGCGCCCAAGGAGTGGGCCGACGCAGCCTGAAGAACCGGCTGATGGTCCTCCATCCCACGCGCTTTGGCACCACTATACCATGTACGCTACGCTCAGATGTGTCTCTAAATTCTGTCAACACAAATCAAGCTTTACAAGTGACAACATTTAACTGAGTCATCTTCTGCTGTCAGACACTTCACGGAGGCCCCGCGACGAAGAGCTGGACGGTAACTCCTACCACTTTACCTCGAGGACGGAGATGGAGGTGGACGTGAAGGCCGGCCGCTTCCTGGAGCACGGGGAGTACGACGGCAACCTGTACGGCACAAAGATCGAGTCCATCCACGAGGTGGTCGCCACGGGACGCTCCTGCATCCTGGATGTCAACCCACAGGTACAACAGAGGTTTAAACGTTAGAGTTAAAGGCTTCATATGTCGAGGCTGGATTTAATGTGTATTTACTCTGAGCGCTGATATTTCAGAGGGAACATTTACATTTACAGAACCATACATGCCAAATTATACAGAGTTTTTCCTATTTGAATTGCTTAGAGACGTGTATATACACAGTCGTCCTCAAATGTATTCACACCCTTCCATTAAAGGAAAGGTAAAATTCACAATAGCCACTCAAATAACTAGAAACTGAAAAAAGTAATAATAAATAAAAATTTTCTAAATTATAATTTAGTGAAATAAGACGTTGCTTTTGAATTGTGGTTGAAAAGAATAATTTAAAAAAAAAAAACTGTCCCAGACAAATTAGAGCACTTTGCTGATGAGCAGTGGAACAAAATCTAAACACCTGTCAACAGGTGCAGAAGTCTGACTGAGAGTTACAGAAAACACTTGATTGCAGTGATTGGCTCAAAGGGTTGTTCAGCAAAATATTAGTTTATGGGTCCCATCATGCTTGTTTTTAAAATTTTTTTATATATATATTTCTGTTGAACCAAAATTCCGAAGCCATGTCATGATTTTCATTACATTTTTTATTATTATTACTTTTGTCAATTTCAACTTATTTCAGTGTCAGCTGTTTTTTTTCCTTCTTTAATGGGAGGGTATGAATACATTTGACTGTATATACATATAACAATCATGTTGATTATGAAAAAAATCCACATCAGCATATGTGTGGTCAGGCGGTTTGCTCCAGCCACAGGCAGGTTGTGCTGTGCAGTAAAGGTGCAGAGCATATCTTCAGCTTCTGAGTGCAAAAACATCTTCATCTAGGGCACATTCTCCCTCTGATATGCAGTCTGGATTTAAAATATTCCTTTGCCTTCTACACACCGAATGTTGCCACCTTTATTTAGTTTTTCTTTAAATGTGATCTTTAAAAAAAATGAAATGTTATTATCTAAAACATTTGCTGTCATTTATAGATCCTACAGATTTTCTATAAATGATCCAGATTTTTTCATACATTGATGTAGCTGGATGTCCAAACCGGCTGACGGGAGAGTCTGATCTGAACTGTCTAAAGGAATCTCTCCCTTTTTGGATTTGCCTTTTAATGTCACATCTTTTGTCTCTCCAGGCTCTGAAGGTATTGAAAACTGCCGAGTTCATGCCTTACGTGGTGTTCATCGCAGCGCCAGATTTCGATACTCTCAAGGCCATGCACAAAGCCGTGGTGGACGCAGGCATCACAACCAAGCAGCTCACGGTAGGTTGCGCATGACAGCACACACGTTGACGTGCCAGTGATAGCCGCATACAGCCACCTGGAGAAGAAAATTACCCAGCTATAGCCACATGCTGGCTTCCTAATCAGGTGGTGGAAGGTTTAACACTTTTAGCCTCAGAAAAAAACACTTTGTAAACATACACTGAAGCAATACAGTAACACGGATACAACACTTTCATCTTGTAGTTTGCAATGGTAGAGGTACCTTTAAGTTTTTGGACAGTTAAATCATTATTAACTAAATAAATGTCTTATTATTTTTTATTTACAAAACATAAAAGTCCTGCTTTGTAAGTAAAAATTTGATCTGCAAGTAACAATTACTTATAAATGTAAAAAATTGGGGGTGTTGCAACGTACTGGTATTGATGATAACAGTCATAATTAAAAAAGAAAATACTGATATTGTGTTAAAAAATACACCTTGAATAGAATAGAATAGAATAGAATAGAATAGAATAGAATAGAATAGAATAGAATAGAATAGAATCCAGTGCCAGCTTGGGTCATAGACTCTTTAATTTTATAAAGAGTTTAAATCATTTTGGGGAAAAAATAACCAAATACACAATAAACAAAATTAAAGAGGAATTCGACTGCTTAAAATTGACTTAAAGTATTGATATAGTTGTCATTGTGAGCTCTGTTTTCTACAATAATCATGTTGTATAAATCAGACATCACGGCCTGGTGTCAAATATAAAGCCGAGAATTAAAATGCTCAAAGAAAAATAGATCAAAGTTGTACCGATGTGCCGTACATCTGTCTGCCTGGAGTGTCCTTCATTCTCCCTCATTGTCTCTTCCACTGCTTTTAGGTAATCTGTGCTCATATAAAGTCTGGTCTAAACTGCCTGTACTTTTATGAAGCTTGTCTGCACATTTCTTTTCTGTTTTATTGTAGAATTTATCTCTTACATGCTTTTATTTTTCTCATCTCTTATCATATTTTTAGGCGTTTCAGGCGATTATTTTCAATGATTCTATAAATCTCTGTGCACTTTATTCCACTTGTCTGTACTGTTTGTGATTATTTTAATTACATTTTTATGACGTGTTTTATTGTGTTTCATCCTGTGTCATTTGCCTGTAAAGCGCTTTGAACAACCTCTGTGTACGATAAGGTGCCGTGTAAGTGAACTTTGTCTGACTTGTGTAAAAGCGTCTCGTGCGCTGCGGCTTGCATCCGTTTCCAGAAGTGACCTGTCCTCTGTGTTTTTTTGTCAGGACGTGGACCTGAGGAAGACGGTGGACGAGAGCGCCCGTATCCAGAGGGCTTACAGCCACTACTTCGACCTGACCATCGTCAACGACAACCTGGACAAGGCCTTTGAGACGTTACAGGCGGCCGTGGACAAACTGTGCAGTGAAGCCCAGTGGGTCCCGGTGAACTGGGTGTACTGAGGACCAGAGCTTCCACTGTCCCACTCTGAGTGGGTCATCATGACCCACCAGCATGTGTGTGTGTGCGTGCGTGCGCGTGTGTAAGTGTGTGCGTTTCCGACCACAAAGGCCAAAGAAGAGGAGAAGAGCTCCGAGATACTACTGCAAAATAACACAATTAATGAAATCTTCTTGCTCCTTCTCCTCTCGGGCCTGCACGCTGTGCAACTTTTTTTCTACTCAAAACTCAAAGGGAAAGAGTGCTTATTTATTTTATAACTTTTTATGAAAGATCTTTCTATTCAATGTGTAATTCCAGTGAGAATGAAACAAAAAAAAAAAACGTCTTTGTCATGTACGTGGGCCATATTTTTGCATTAATTTATTGTTGTAGTTACGTGTCTTACTTGTAGTCGTTTCCATTGATGTCAAGTGCGTTCGTCCGTCTTCCTTCGTTGACACACATGATTCACGATCGCCATCCAAAGCTCCAGAACGAAGACAAGGAAAGGTGATGGGTGTCTGTGAAGATTCTCAGTCATCCAGGTCATGGTTATTCTTGTAGTTTAATCGTAGAAAACTAGACTTCCTTGAAGACGTTCCACCTCTCATCCAAGAGGCTTCATCAGAGCTTTAAGAGGTGACATGTCTTCAAGAAACTCAAGCAAGTCCAGTTGCTACGATTAAAGAAAAACGAAAGGCGATGGATTACAAGATCTCAGAGCAGTCTTTGTCCAAGAAATCTATCCGTGTCACACAATCATTGCCATGTCTGAACAACCTGTGTAGCTGTGTTTTATTTTCACCTTCATTCAACTGAATCATTTAATGTTTTTTTTGTGTTGCTGGTCTTAAACTCTTTGATCCTCCGCGTGATCAAGAAATAAAGAGCTTAAAGAGGCCCGTTTGTGCACAACCCCTCCATTATGTAAGAGAAATGACTTTATAATGTTGCTTTTCAAAGATCAAACACTGTGTCTGTTAAGTTTGTCTAGTTTTTGTTTTTCTTTCTGTAGGTTTTTATCAGTGTGGTGATTTTATAGCATGTAGTGTTTGGTCACACATGGTCCTTTTTTGCTTTATTTTGAACTGTCCTGTGTGTTTGTCTGGAGTATGACTGTCCCAGTGTCCCCCTGACCATCATCTTTACCGTCTACATAAGCCAATCTGTCAGTGTTTTTTCTTTCTGTGAACGTGGCACAAACCCCGTCTCTCCTTAACGGTCCTTCTCTTCAGTGTCGCAGTATGCCAAAGCCCTGATCATGCTCCGAGTAACGTTTGAAATTCTTAAATCTGATCATGGAAGTAATGTGACTTTGAATGGTAAAATGCATCTAGCAAAGCCAAATGGTAAAACTGTAGAACTACTGTGTGTCCTGTAATGTTTTTATAATGTCTTTCTCAAAACAAGGTCAATATTTGAGATCGGCATGGAGGTTCTCATGTCAGATTGTTCTAAAAACCTGTCTTGCACTTAAAAGAAGACAAATAAAGACAAATAAATGACCTTTATATGGATATTCTTTGGAATAAATGTAACATTTGATGCGCCAGCCCTCCTGCCTGTCCGGATGTTTCCACATCAACCTCGTGTCTGACAGATTTCTTTTTACATTTTTATCAGCAAAGTTATGACGAATAAAGTTTAATAAATCTCACAAACTAGTTTTTTTTCTTAAATAATGTGTAATGATGGTTAAAATGTATAGATAAGTGACAAATTAAAGGAAAAACCTTTTGACCCTTGACCCTTGCTGGCTGGTTTTCTACAGGAGACTTTGAACCAATGTGTGCTCTTCATCATCATCATCATCATCAAACCAGCAAATGAGAGAATATCTTTTGAATGAATGCTGTTCATCCCTCAAGTAGAGCTCCAGAGCATTAAAGCCTCACGAAGACGCTTTACGTTTGTTTTTCTTTTCATTTGTCACCCGTATGCACCTCTTAAGATGAATGATTGACATACAGCTGATATTCAAATACGTTCTGATGCCAACATTAGTGCATCTGTCATCATGTAGCACTTGGTCTGGCTCTTCTACTGCTTTGCTCAGATTAGAGAGCTTTAAACTGCATGTTTTATTAAAGGACCCTTGTCTCAATGCAGCATTTAGCATTAAGAAGATTGTTTTCTTTATAAATAGCATTTATATCCAAGTAAAGAACAGTATTGGTGGTGGCAACCAAAACTTTAAAATGACACTATCGTGAAGTGCTAGTGTTAAAGTCTCTCTCCTGTCATCGTTTTAACCCCTAAAATCTCATCTCTGTTTGTCAGAGTTACATATTTACAATTTTTTTCCAGACTTATCATGGCTCAAATGTATTATTAGGGCAGGGGTCTCAAACTCGGGGCCCGTGGGCCAATTCAGGCCCACTGGACGATATTTTGTGGCCCCCTATTTGACATTTAACGTGAGTGCGGCCCACACGTTCTTCTCACACGCACCTGCACAAGTCATTGCCCTGGGCGTTTTATATTTTTTTACCACTTGTGGGCTACCATAGCTCAGGCTCGTGACAGCAACGTGAATTAGCAACGTTAGTCATTTGAAACATGATTGGAAGTGTCACCGAGTGGAGGGAAAATACATCCTGTCACCCAGTGTGAAAGCATGTTTTTTTTTTCTCTACCAGTGTGAAAAGCTCTGAAAAGCTCCGCCATGAACTTTAATAAGTCAAAGTACAGGTCTAAACTTAGTGATGAGCATCTTCAAGCCAAGGGCTGCAAGGTGGCGCAGTTGGTAGCACTGTTGCATCGCAGCAAGAAGGTCGCCGGTTCGCGTCCCGGTGGGGGCACCGGAATCTTTCTGCGTGGAGTTTGCATGTTCTCCCTGTGCAGCGTGGGTTCTCTCCGGGTTCTCCGGCTTCCTCCCAAAAACATGCTGAGGTTAATTGGTGATTCTAAATTGTCCGTGTGCTTGGTTGTCTGTCCTTAAGTGTAGCCCTTCGCCCTAAGTCGGCTGGGATAGGCTCCAGCCCCCCCGCGACTCTAATGAGGATGTATAGATAATGGATGGATGGCCACACTGGATGGCTTCCTCTCTTAAGCTGAATGTGGCTCAGCTGTGTAAGAGGCAGCGCTGCCAGGTCTCTGGTAGCAAGGAGTAGGTAGGAGAAGCCTATGTTCTGAAGAATGTTCATGTTCTGAATTGTTATTAATAAAGTTTTAGAAGATTGGATCAGTTGTACTTTTTTTTTTTTGGAATACTTGATGTGGCCCAGATTCTACATCCGGCGGGTAAGCTGAGTTAGAGAGCCCTGTATTAAGGTATTTTAGCCATACGTGTTCCAACTGGAAACCAATTCTGAAGAAGAATAATGATGCAGAAAGCTCAAGTTATCCGGATTGATTCCTTAGTTTTGTTGTCAGTTTAAATCCCTGTTTATGAGACCATCGTGGGTGCACTGCAGTTTCAAGGTGGAAACGCTCAGCCATGGCACTGACTGCTTATTTCACTTACTATGTGTCTTGTAGTGAATAGAAAACACCATACAGACATGTTAACAAGGTAAAATAATAATAATAATAGATTTCCACTGGAGGGGAACTTCAAAACGAGCACTTCAGAGGCAGTCATTTCAAATCAGAATCTTGCCTTTGTAGCAGTTTAGACAACTTTATTACACCACAAAAATTCACTCCTCTCCACAAGCCTTTCGTCACAGCAGATGTCTTGGCTGGTCGCAGGAGGAAGAGCGGAGGCGATGCTGTTAACACTGAGCTGCCTGGTGTCATCTGTGAAAAAAGTCCTGCTGCACTGTGAAGCCAAAACCTTCTGCAGGGCTGCACATCACATGAGGTGAGTGAGAAAATCTGTCATTCAGGTGAAGCAGCCCTTTAGTAGCCTTGAAGTGAAATGCAGAGAAGGCATCGCAGAAGGTCTAACATCCGCCTTGGCTTATTTTTGATGTGAGACAGATGATTAAAGATATTTTGGTGAATTTATAGCGACTAGTGATTTTAATTGAGCTACTATAGTTGAGGGGGGACACTCATAATATGATTTATATTTGTATCAGGCTGATTTAAATGTAGTTTTGTGATTGCATCAAGACGATAAATGATAAAAAAAATGTATATTATTCTCATTGTAATTCTCTGAAATGGTCGCCAGAGTGTGGTGCTCTTCCCATTTGCGCTGCAGACCTAACCTCATAATCCATCTGCTTTATTTACAGTTTATCTGCAGTTCAGCAGAGCGTGTGGTGAGGACGCAGCTGTGCTTTAAACATCCTGCATGTTCCAGTTCAGCTAAACCTGCTCTGAACGGCCCCTTTAAGTCACACAGCAGCAGCAGCAGCAGCAGCTCCTCAGAGGTGAATTTAACATCGGTGTGTTCACAGATCACATTTTTGACATGTAACAGTGGAAACGGCACAGCTGTGGCTGAGGTCCAGGTAGCTGCTGCAGTTCCAGGGTCCTGTCACGGCTCTCAGGGACACTTGGGCAGCTGTCAAAATACCTTCTGCAAAAAAGTAAATAAATAAAGGGCCCACTTGGATCAACACATTTGTTCATGCAAATGCAGAAATGTTATTGCATTCATCAACTTGCTGCCATTTACAGTTTTTCTGTTGGGGTATGACCTGCATGTATGAGTCAGGAGGGAACAACACTTTATGGTGGAATGAACAAAACTAAAATACAGAACTGAGCTGAATTTTATGCTGCGACTGATATTCTGTATTTTATTTTTTTGGGATTCTATGTTTTATTGGCATCTTGTTGGATTTTCAGTTGGCAGATCAGCTTCTCGTGACGGCTTTAATATTCCCCCGTTCTGAATAATTCAAAGCGTCACATCCCTCCTCCTGCCTCTAATGATGGACTGCTTTGCTTTCTCTAGTTTTATGTCAGATCATTCCCTCTTTATGGCGGCTACAGCTCCTTCACTGGCAGCTGTACAGTTACTATGTGTTTGGTTTGGTACTGACGCTGCCACACTGGCTGCTGATATCCAAAAACAGGACTTTATTATTTTTTTCTTCATATTTTAAAGAAGAAACGGAGCAGAATGAGCAGCCTTTTATGGGTATTTTTCAGCTGTTGATTGTGTGAATGATCATCTGCAGACCTTGTTGTAAGCAGGCGGCACTCTTCAGACTGAATTAAATGATTTATGACAGGTTTATCTCATCTAAGGAAGTTTAATGTGACTTCTACACACAAGCCTCAGTAAACAATACAAAGAAAACACCTGACATTGTTTAGTATTCGTTGGGTATTTTCAGGAAGTGATCAGTTTCTACTTTATGTACAAGAATAGCTGTCATGCCTTACTGTAGATTCTGTCTTTTGGCAGGTAAGTGGGCTCATGCTGTTGCTTTGGCTCCCTCTGTAGGTCACAGACAAGACTGCATGTGTTGGCTTGAAGGCTCCCGGCTGGTATGTAATTCAGACTTTATTTGTGTTTGTCCAATCCTGCTGTAGTGGCTATTTGTCCTGAGATGAATAATCTAAAATAATTAAATTATCAAAACAAAATCAAATCAAAGGGCCACTGAGGCACATAGGGAACTAATTTTCACAGGGAAACGAAGTCCATGTCCCAGGCAAAAATAGAAAGTTTCTTCGGTTTGTTTCC